GAATATCATGACAAAGACACTGGGTGCTACGAAGTTTAAGCGTTTCAGGACCATGCAGAAGGTGCTGCTGTTAAAGAACCCGAGCTGGAACGCAGAGGGCGCGGAGGTGTGCGATAGCAAACACTAGATTGGATCAAGCGAAATGTTCGACGAAAGGACGCTGAAGTGGAAGCCAAGGATTACGCTCACTGTGTGGAGCGGCTGACTGCAAGTGCTATGGTGTAGCTTGTGAGCTTGGAGCCCTCACATGTGCCCAAGATACCAAGTCATGATCTGACAACGGGTCGGACTCGTACATGACAACGCAGGTAAAAGGACTGTTAGCGGTTGGTGTACGCCGCTGTCGACACTCTGGCTGAGGCGATGAAGTGCTGCGCGTTGAGGCTTCATCGAGTAGGAGTGTCGAGCCAGATCCAGTACAGGAGCAACTAGGAGCTGCTCATCCTGAGAGCAAGCAGCTGGGCTGCGTGAGCTGCGGGATCGGTGTGCTGCCAGGAATAAACGGTTGGTTGCTAGCATGGGATCTAGGTTTTCTATAATAATATGACATTGAAAGGGTTGAGTGGAGGAGGAGGAGGTCACTCGCTTCGGAACTTACTGTGGGAGGCACACAACTCCGTGACCTCCGTCCTCGCTGCAAGTCCCGTTGTATTTTGCCCAACAAGTCCTGATGTCTTGCCTTTAGTAGACTGCTTGACCTTGAGTCTCTAGTAAGAGGCAAAATGAAGACTGAGATTAAACTGAGTGTTAGAACTACAGCTAGTTTACAGTAGTTGTTGTACTTGCCCATAATATACTGGTCTACGAAGTACTGGTCCACGAAGTACTGGTCCACGAAGTACTGGTTCACGAAGTAACCTGCAACGGTCTATGCATTTTCACGGACTCGTGATGAATCTCCGTTACACCTGAGGTATAGTACTGTGTGAAGTGTCCCTACGCAATGGAGGGTACTTGAGTTGGAGACACTCGTTCCCGGTCAGTGGAGGCTGCAACCGGAAGAGGTATCGCCAGTACATAGTTAAACAGGAAGGGATGCGCAAGAGGATGCAGGGATAAACAGACCACAGCAATTCAGGAAACGTTTCGGGTTTGTGAAGATGAATGCGATCGCGTACGATCCATGCGGAGGAGGAGGGTTGGTGCTTTGACGCTGCAGGGCTGAATAAGCCCGAAGGGCAAGAAGAGCTAGCCCATGATAGGAGCACCATTATTTGTCCCTTTGGAGCAGCAGCATGGATAACAGGCAGTTTTGGACGCCAAGGGTAGCGCGACGTGCCGCTGGATCTGGACAACTGGCAATAAGGGGGAGCCAAGAACAGTGTAACGATG